TAAGCAATAAGTTTAAGCACTTATTAAAACAACTTCCCCCAAAAAGCTAAATGAAGCCTATACGGTGGAAATGGCCAATGGGAAAACCGAATCCACTGGGGAAATCTACACCGGATGTACCCTAACTCTTAATCAACACGTCTTCCGAATAGACCTAATGCCAGTATCAATTAGGAGTTTCGACGTGATCATCGGTATGGACTGGTTAAGCCCCCACCATGCCGAAATTATGTGTCACGAGAAGGCTGTTCGTCTTCGTCTTCCAAATCACGAAACCTTAGTGGTCTACGGGGACAAACCTAGCATGAACCTTCGCCTCGTTTCGTGTGTCAAGGCACAAAAATATCTACGAAGGAACAATCTGGCGTTCCTGGCTCATGTGGTGGACAAAACCAAGGAGGAGATTAACGTTCGAGACATTCCCGTAGTATGTGAATTCCGGATGTGTTTCCTGAAGATCTTCCGGGAGTGCCCCCAGAGAGACAGGTTGAATTTCGAATTGACCTTATCCCAGGAGCAACTCCTCTTTGCTAAATCACCCTATCGGTTGGCTCCTGCCGAGATGCAGGAATTATCCAGCCAACTCAGCGAACTTTTGGACAAGGGATTTATTCGACCTAGTTACTCGCCATGGGGAGCTCCGGTACTCTTTGTCAAAAAGAAAGACGGATCTTTTAGAATGTGTATCGATTACAGAGAGTTAAACAAACTCACAATCAAGAACCGCTACCCACTCCCACGAATCGATGACCTATTTGACCAGCTCCAAGGGGCTAGTTATTTTTCTAAAATAGATTTACGGTCCGGGTACCACCAACTCAAAGTCCGGGAAGAGGATATTCCAAAAACCGCTTTCCGAACTCGTTACGGACATTATGAATTTGTCGTAATGCCCTTCGGTCTAACGAATGCCCCTGCCGCATTTATGGACCTAATGAATCGAATCTGCCGACCGTTTCTTGACAACTTTGTCATTGTTTTTATCGATGACATCCTCGTCTATTCTCGAAGCAAGGAAGAGCATGACCAACATCTCCGACAAGTCTTAGAAACTCTACGGTCAGAAAAACTTTACGCCAAACTCTCCAAGTGTGAGTTCTGGCTGCGGAGCGTGAACTTCCTAGGTCATGTGGTCAGCCGAGATGGAATCCATGTGGATCCCTCTAAGGTTAAAGCTGTAGAAGGTTGGGCAATCCCGACAACGCCCACAGAAATTCGTCAATTCTTGGGATTAGCAGGCTACTATAGGAGATTCATTCAAAACTTCTCTAAGATCGCCAAGCCACTTACCTCGCTTACGCAAAAGGGCGTACCATTCAAATGGACAGACAAACAAGAAATCGCATTTCGAACCTTGAAGCAAGCTCTCTGTAGCGCACCTGTACTATCTCTGCCTGAAGGAACGGAAGACTTTGTAGTCTACTGCGACGCATCAAATCAGGGTTTAGGTTGCGTTCTCATGCAACGTGGGAGAGTGATAGCCTATGCATCCCGCCAGCTAAAGACGCATGAAGTAAACTACACAACCCATGACCTAGAGTTGGGAGCTGTAGTCTTTGCCCTAAAAATTTGGAGGCATTACCTTTACGGTACAAAGTGCACCGTCTTCACAGACCACAAGAGCCTCCAACACATCTTAAACCAGAAGGAGTTAAACATGAGGCAACGAAGATGGGTTGAGTTGCTAAACGATTATGAGTGCAAGATCAAGTACCACCCAGGCAAGGCCAACGTGGTAGCTGATGCATTAAGTCGGAAGGAGTACTCTAACGTTGTACAAAAACTAGAAACAAGGGAGAATGGGGTATACTACTTCATGAACCGTATCTGGGTCCCTAAATTTGGAGGATTTAGAGATGTTGTCATGAAGGAAGCCCACAAGACGCGATACTCCATTCACCCCGGTTCCGATAAGATGTATCTGGATATTAAACAACACTATTGGTGGCCTAACATGAAGGCGGAAATCGCGACTTACGTCAGCAAGTGTCTTACATGCGCCAAAGTAAAGGTGGAATACCAGAAACCTTTAGGATTGTTGCAGCAACCAGAAATTCCCGAGTGGAAATGGGAGGGGATTTCT